AAGCACTTGGCTCCACTCGCATGCTTACCCTGGAAACAGGCCAAGGACAGCACTGTGTCCACAGGCACCAGGGTCCCTTCCCCTAGCCACGGTCTACTCAGGTGAGACCTTAATTCTACAGGGAAACTCGCAGTGTTGCTTCTGTGTTTCAAGGACGAAGGTGTCAGCACGTTTCCCCAGCGCTGACCTTCCCTGCACCCCAAGAGAAAGGATCCCCCCCCCTTTCTTCCTCTTCTCCCCGCTGCCTTTGCAGGCAGGACCTTCACCAGAGATGCTCAGCGCCTGGAGGGAAGGTGGCTGTTGAAAAGGACCTCTGGGTTTGTTTTTTCCCCTTAGGTCTTGGAAATGATGCTGGCAGCCTGGTGCAGTGTTTCACCCTCCTTCCCCCCTCCCCTGCCTCAGCCCCCGTGAGGGGGGAGGAAGAGCGTGGGCGGTGGAAGGAGTTGTGGTCCCCAGATGTGTGAATTGTTGCCGAGTAGAAATAGCGCAGCACGGACAAACAGCAGAGCAGCTCAGCCGAGAGCCATCGCTTTGGGCTTGCGTCACTGACCTTTTCCTCTCGCCCTTCTCAGTCCTCACCTGACCCTCCCACCGCTTCCCCTGCACTTTGCACTCAGAGAGCTCTCTGCTTGCAATGGTGAGGAGCGCTGGCACGGGAGCTTAAAGAAAGGAGCGGGGAGGAGTGGAAAAAAAAAGCCTTGCAGCAAACAGAAGGCAATGCCTTGATCCTCTCTCCATTTCCACAGAGCTCAGGTTGCCACCCTGTAGGATAAGAGTCATGGGCTGAGCCAATACACAACTCTCCCTGCCTGGTCTAGACATTGCAATGAAGGCATAGCTGTCCTGCCTCCACAGCTGGCAGGGTTGAGGATGAGGGGGGAGAAGCAAGCTCATCCTAAGATTGGGGTGTGCTTCACACTCTTGCATATCATGAACATATGGAATTACAAAAAAAAAAACATTGCAAAGCCTTGCAGGACCAAGCTTGAAACTTGGTGCGACTGTAAAAGCCTGCATAAGTCTTGACTCTTTCGAGTCAAACAATGCCACCAGCATGCCACATGGAGAGAAGTGTGAGTCAGAGCAAAGCAAGGGCTTGGGACTTGTTTTGGACTACATGTGGGATGGTAATCCTGTGGGCCCTTGGCCCAAAAGATCTGCTGAATTGCCGCCTGGGGCTGCAGGGGACAGGGCTTGATTGCCTGTGAAGTCCTTTCTAGTGTTCTGCCCCATTCTACTACTTCAGGGGAAAGATTGAGGACGTGGTGGTGGTGTGTGGGGGGAAAGTGTCTGTAGGGACAAATGGGAGAGTGCTTTGAGTCCAGGAAAGTATGTGTGGGGCAAACAGGAGAATGCAGTGAGCCTCAGGCACCCCACTGAAGATGCTTTGCCCACGTCTTGTTCTAGGACATTGTTGTGTCAAACACCTGGAGGGTAGTCAGGACTTCAGAGCAGGGGATCAGAACAAAAATTATGCCTGCAGGACAGGTGCCAGTTAGACAGAAGACTTGTTGTCCTCCTACCTCTCCCTGGATATTTTCTTTCCCTGGCTGCTTTGAAGCAGTGCAACTCTCCTCAGTAGCAACTGGTGAAGCTTGGACACATCTCCAACCTCACAGTTTGCATTTTCTGGACTCCCTGGCAGTCAAGGCACCTCAGCAACTTTGAGGTTGATGCAGGTCAGTCTTACTTCTTGAAGTCATGGATGCAAGTAGCTTAAAGCGAATAAAGAAACAACCCAGCCCCCCACCTCCCACTCACCCAGGGCTGGATTCCCAGCCTTTCCAGGTGGATGGAAGCCCCCTACTCCTTAGCTTCTCCAACTCAAGAGCTCTCCATCCTGCTCCCTCCCATTTTAGCCATTCCAAACAGAGATTGGGAGAGATTTTGCAATAATTCCCTGACCATTTGTGAGTTAAGTGACACAAACTCAAGAGACGGAATTGTCCGTGGGTTGAGAAACTGTCGGAAGCCTTTGATTTAAACCTGCCCTGGCACCCACCATGGTATAACTGCATGGAGAGAGATCACAGAGGGCTTGTGGGAGAAGGGGGAGGCATGTCATGAGGCGAGGGAGCTGTGCTTGTACCAAAGAGGCCTGGAACCTCAGCCCCCCTCTACCCACCTCCTGATAGCATCTTCAGAGTGAGCCAGGCTTGCAAAGGGCAACAGTTTCCGTTGGCAGGAAGGTGAGAGATGTCCATATGGGGCTGGTATGTGTGTCTGTATGCATGTGTGGGTGTCATAGCAGAGTGAGCACCGGGCTGGCCTCTGAAGCCCGGCATGGCTCGGCAAATGCCCGTTTTCCCACTGTGGTCCGAGGAGGGCCATGCCACATGAGGCAATGTAGCTGTGCCCCATCATCCATGAAGCCATGGGCAGAGTTCACACCCAGCCCTTTGGGCCCAGTGGCATCTCCCAGCCAGCAATGGGAAAGGGAAGGTGAGGAAAAGGGGCATCTGGGACAGGTTCAACCCATTGGTGACATCTGGCTGCGATGTGCTGGATGGAGGGAGGTGAGGGCTCTGCTTGCAGCCTGGACAGTGCTGGCTGGGTCGTTGTATGACCCCCTCTCCCTCCCTGGACTCTGAGAGATACACAAGGCTGAGGTATGAATGAAGCAGGTTGACTGGGCGGCTTGGGAGGGAAGGAGGGACAACAGGCTGGAAAAGAGGGGGAACTTGCTATGGAAGTATGCAGCAGCCCCCTGAATTGTGCACAAATCCCTGACGTGAGGCAGAGCCTGAACCATGGCTGGCAGCTGGGGTGAGGCTTGAGGGGCTGCCAGAGACCTTTCCCATGCCTGCCCCACCTGTGACAAAGGGTCAGGGAAGGTGCAGAGCCAGGTGCTATGCCGTGCCCCTGCTCTCCCTGGTGCTTTGGGTGCAGACACATCCACTCGTGCCCAGCTGAGTACCCCTAGGAGAGTCAAAGGTCTCCTTTTATATTCCTTTACTTGCCCTGATTCTCTCTTCCCCTTTTGCCTAGCTACCACAGGGCAAGGAGCTATTTTGGAGCCTTCAGCTTCTCCTCAGCCGGCCCTGACATACGTTTTCTTCCCCAGAGACAGGGCCATATCCTGCCCTTTACCTCCTCTCTCCCACTTCCCCCCCCATTTTCATACCTGCAAGACCACAAACCCGCAGGAAGCCAGTTTAAAGGGCCAGCCCCTTGGTGCGTACCTTGAACAAGCTTGAAGTGTGGCCGCAGAGCCCTTTGCAGCAGAGCTTGGACCTGTCTTTCAGGGGAAAAGAGACTCAGGGCCCCGGGGGTAGTGCTATAGCTGCCCACCTCAGGGCATGCTTCTTTCTTTGCCTGGGAGACATGTCCTGGCTGTCACCAGCCCCAGGCTCGCATACCACCAAGCAGTCCCATTGCATGGAAAAGGACCCAGCCACGGGATGAATGAAGTGAATGGAGGTCTGAATGGCTTTCAGGGAGAGCACTTCACCCTCTGGCAGAGCAGCAGGGCTGGTTTGACCCAGTGTAGCCCTCATGCCTACAACAGAATGGCAGGGTCAACCTGGCCTGAGCTGAGTTTCACCTACAGCAACTCCCCAGCTGGGCATCCATGGTGTGACGGGTAGCACAGACTACAGACCCTGCGTGTCACCAGGCATCTTAGCCCCAAGGGATTTGGCTGAAGAGACTCTTCAGCTGACATGTTCCTCTGCAAGTGGCTGAAGGACTGAATCATAGAAAAACTTTTCTAGAAGGTCTAGCTACACATTTCCTCTCCTCCCTCCTCCTTCACTACTCACATTTTGTAACTGTGACAAAGTCACCTCCAATCTACCAGTATCTCACCTCAAGGGGCCAGGAACATGCACAGGCTCAACCCCTGTACTTCCTGAGGACACATTTCTATCTGTTTCCTCAGAAGTAAATAAAACATGTGAAGAAGGCTGGGCTCCGACCTGATAGAGTATTGCATTTACTAGGATATATATAGCCATAGCTCTGTGCCTGACATGGGACCAAAGAGGCCTGTAAGGATGCGTGTGATTGTTTTCCACCCCTTGCCAAATGAAGCGTCTGGTACATATCAAACCACAGGAGAAGCTATGTGAAGATGAATTAAACTCAAACCAGAAGGTCCTATATGGGCATCTGCTCTTGTTTTCTTGTCCATTCCTCCACTTCAGCATGAGTACCCTCAGTCCAAATCCCAAAGATGTTAAACAAGACCCTACTTACCTCTTTGACCTGCATTGAGACCTCCAAAGGCATCTCCCTGTCCTTAGGATGCTACCCCTCCTAGATCTTACACTCAAGCCTGCAAGTCTCCACTGCCCCCTCATGTCTCCCCATTTTTGCCAACTTTATGGGCAATTGCCACTTGTCTTTCCACCTCTGACTTGAACCTCAAGTCTTTCTTATCACACAAAGTTCTTCCAAAAATATGTGTCCAGCTTAACTCTGGAACTGCCACTCACACCGTTGTTAGCAAGCTCAAGTGTCTAGTGAAGAGTTCAATGTCCCTTTTACATTTGCACTTCCTGGCTTTCACTTCTTGGCACAGAAAAGAGAAACTCCACAGGGAAAACAGAAAACACACATGCTTACTAAGTACTAGATAGAAGGATATGCTAAAAATTTCACAAGATAATGGGTCTGATTCCCCTTAAGACAACTCCATTACCAGCCCAGCCTTCCTCAATATAATTAGTTAGGTACTTGAAGCCTAATCCTCCAACCCATTCTATTGTTCTGGCTTTTTGGTAATTTCCAAAGAATCCTTCCTTGAATTTGCTTAAATCTTTCCCAGCAAAGAGGAGTGATTGTTATTAGAAGCGTTCAAGCAGTAAAATCTTAAGGTAATGGTTCTCCACAGAGGAAACAGACATAAGAATGTCATGGATTGCCCAGGGAAGTTTCAGAGCTGAGTTAGAATTTATACCTGTCTCTTTCAGGTCGGTGTCTTTTCCATCACACTATTCGGCGATAACCAGAGCTAGAAGGAATAGGTTAGGAAGGAAAAGCAAATCTAAGTGCAAAACAACGAGGGAAAAAAGTTTAATACTACTGAAAAAAATATGTATATATACACAAAAGTTCTCGTAGTTTGTTTGGTTTTGTAACATAAAGCACCATTAATTCCACAGTACATCACAACTCAGCCTGCTACACCGTCCAGAAAGTACACAATACTCCTGAAATCTGATTTAGCACCAAGGGATTGCCATCTTGTTTAGCACCAAGAAGCCTGTTAAATACACCCTTTGGTCCCCCCGCCCTCCTCTCTCATGTGCATCAGGCACCATCTGGCTGCTCATGGATAGCACATGAAACCTATCACTGGCATTCAAATATCAAGAAGAGAAGGAGGAAGAAGGAAGCTTGTTTCTAGAGATATTCAGTGTTAGAGAGGCTTGCTTCTCTTCAGGGAGACACAGGGGCACTATGCACTGTAAATAGACAATATCTGGGTTTGCAGCCTGCTGAGGAAAAGAGAATGGGATTCAGATTGGAGCGTCACCTCCAGCACGCTGCTGCTTCTCTACTGCCTGAAATCCCATCACTGAGCAATTCCATATGCTTGACCTGCTAAGAGAAGGGCAGAAACTCATCCTCCCTTAGTTCCCATGATCCCATCATCACATGTTTTCCTGGGAAAAACCCGCTTTGCCTTAGTGAAACCTTGTTTTTATAGCCATTGCCTCAGTGACAGTGGTGGGGAGGATTAAGTGTGGAAAGTGCCTAAAACTCATTCCAGTCTGTACAGCTTCCTTAGCAAAGTGGGGAGGGTAAGTAAACAGGGCAAGAGAGAAAATGTCCTGCAATTCTCTCAAGTTCATTTTTAATATTTAGCCTGGGTCCCTGTGCCTTCGCCATCCTGGGCTGAGTGTACCGGACCTAGTCCTGCATAATGATGCATATCTCCTATGGGAGAGCTCTGGTTAGTCCCAGGTGCTACAGACATGGCTAATCATGAGACCACAGAAGCTAAATACATCGGAAGACTTCATTATAAGTAATGGGCAGAGGAGAAATACAGTTTCTCCTGCTTGTCCTGTCCTGAGACTCAAAAAACTGACAACGCTTGGCACCACTGTTTACGGGAGCATCACGACATGTGGAAGTAGGTTTCTCAAAGTGCTGAGAACCTCACCTGCTCTCCCCAGGACCGAAGTGATCCCAGAGGGATGTGAGTGAGAGCAGTGTGAGACCAATACAAATGGTACTAGAAAATCCTACCGCTGGCATTCCTTTCCCACTGCAACATCTCTAACCTGACAAGAAGAGCGAGGGTTTGTTTTGGCCACGTGTTTTTCTCAGTTGCTCTGATGAGATTGCCAGAAAAGGGCACAAAACGTGTCAGGGAAGCTTTTAAGGCTGGAGTGAGGTGGTGTAGTCTCACCTCTATCTTTTTTCCATCACAGAGGCAAAGAGGTGCCAACCTGCCCAGGTTTGGAACTGATTTAACTGCAATTGCCCTTACAACCTCCAAGTCAGATCCTGAGACAGTGGTCCCTCAATGCCAGGGTGGGAGAACCCCCTTCAGGAGGACACAGAAGGCGGGACCCAGCCCTGACTCTTCCCTCACATCAACAAGTGTTCAGGATGACCTCTGATACCAATGGAAGGGCACGAGTGCACCTCTGCTACAGAAGAGACCAGATTTGGGTTCATTGTCTGGACTAGCCTCCCAGAGCTGGGGAACTGAGACCAAGTATCAAGCCAGGGGAAGTTTGGGAGGGAGGTCTGGTAGGGTCATATCTCTCTCTCTTGTTCTATACTTAGGATCCCTAGTGGGAATAAGTGGTGAGCTCTACTGGTTCAATAGCAGATGCCTCTGAAGGATCTGGCTGTCTGGCCCATAATTTCTTAAAAGAACGAGAGTTGGCACTGAGGAGGGCAATCCCACCAGGCCTAGATTTTCCAGCCAGCTTGGGCACTGACCCAGAAGAGTGTCTGAGGAAAGCCAGTTACAAACTTCAGAAGGTCAACAGTCCCCTTTTTGAAAAGACAGTGTCACCTGTCACTGCTGCTACATCTTCCTTGTGCTACAGGAGGCCATCAGACCCCAGTCTGCTCTCCAGACTACAGGTGTGACAGGTGACATTAAGGCCATGTTGTAGGCTGCAAAACTGGCCTCTATAGTCAGGACCGAGAGGAGCCAGAATGTACCCGGGCAGTGGGGACTTTCTAGCCCTTTCAATGGCAGCCTTTTGTGTATGAAGCCCCAAGAAGGGACACATCCCCAGGAGCAGCATTTTAGCCTTCCTCCTGCTGTAGGGCCCTAAATGCCAGGCAGGCACAGTTTACTGGCAGATTTAGAAGAAGCCAATAACATAAGTTGGGGTCACGAGGTGAGGGGACGAGAGATGGTAGTGTCACGCTGTAAGTGGACAGGTACAGGCCTGGCTACAAGAGAGCGTGAGGTGGGAGCCAGTGTGGCAAGTTTCACACTCAATGCCTGAGACTTGACAGGCCCATTTCCAAGTGACTTGCAGTGGTTGCGGGCAGTAAAGGGAGAGAGAGAGGAAGAAGGAAAAGGCCAAAGAGGCCCCAAGGAGGAGGAGGGTCAGTTAGTCAAGGCTGGGCTTGACCAGGTACCCATTGAAGGTGATGTACACATCAACATCATCACTGTAAATGGCATTCTCCCGCTCCCGCTTGTAGAGCCTCACCCAGATCTCATCATTTTCCTGAAGCTCCAGCATGAGGCTCTGGCTCTGCATGATGCTGCGGTCGCTGGGTTGGGCGTACAAGATGACCGCCTCTTCTTCATTGTGCATGATGTGCATGTAGGTCTCCTTGAAGTTCCAGGTGTGGACGTTGAGGCTGAAATAGTAAAGTCCACCTACATAGCAGTAGAATTTGCCATTGAACATGTCAAAGTGGCTGTAGAGGTTGACAAAGACGGTGTCGAAGATCAAGACCTGGAAGCCCTCACTACTGTGCAGCGCTTTCTTGCGACCAACGGAGAACGCAGCGTACTGATGCTTGCAGGGGTCTCCTGCTGTGCCCATCTGTCCTTTACTGCCTTTCGGGCCCTGGGCACCCCGCTCACCTCGTGGTCCTTCTTTGCCCCATTTCCCTGGCATCCCAGGCTCTCCTCGGTCTCCTTTGTCTCCTACAAGAGGAAGCAGAGGACACAACTCCTGTGTAATATCAGAGGGAGAGATGCAAGTAGCAGTGAAAAGGCCTAACAAGGAGACAGAGGATTGCTCAGGGATGGGGCAACACCAGAAGAAGGAATGATCCTGAGGATCACAATATCATTGTGTTTCATGGGAAAGGAGCTAGCAGAGCTCTGGGTGTGACTGGGGTCTCTTTCTCTACAAACCCCCTGCTTACCACATGATACAGCCTTGCTGGAGGCACCAGGACCTGTCCCTAGGAGACTTCAGCCTGAGATGGAGCCCAGCATTAGAAAGTACCACTGAGGCTTTTACCTCTTCTTCTTCTTCCACACTCCTTTACCTCCAACACAGCCTTTGCCCTCCTGCACACTTCTTCCATGAGCCAGTTATCCATGTAGTGTGAATACTGTCCTTTCTGTAGGCTGGAGATGGGGAATAAGTGCTAATGCCTGTGGAAGAATATGACTAGAGAGGGACAACGAGGGTCAGTCAGAGGGAAAAGATGCAAGCTGGACTTGGCGGATGGTGCAGTGCAAGTTAGAGGGCTAGTACTTTGACAACAGTACCTTGACATCCTTTGGTCATCCAGTATAATTAATGCTGCAGTTCTACCCTGGCGTTTGTGTGTTCCCTGTCACACACTTGGGCAAGCATCAATACAGAGAGAAAGCAGCACTAGAACCTATTTTGTGTGTAGAGAAGAAATGGTGGTCAGAGCAGCCTCCAGCACAAGTGACAGCATCCCACATTTGGACTTTGTTCTTTTCCTCCTCTCCATCTCCTGCACAGTACTGCAGCACACTGCTCTAGTCCAGGCCTCTTTCTGCCCCAGATACACTTCTGAGCTTTGATGGATTGCAGCTATTTCCAGGCTGGGCAGGGAAGGGGGAGCATCTGCCCAGCTAGCCCAGAGGAACCACAGGGCAACAATAAGTGAGTGGAGCAGGATCCAGCTGGGAACAGGCTTTTGCCCACAGCAAAGGCTAAAAGGGGAGCCCTAAGGGAGGAGCTGATCTAAAATAGGGAGCCTTTTCCCGTTAGGCAAGCCAGCCACTGCAGAGTGGAATGAGCTGAGGGTCACTGCCAGTTACCCTGGAGGTAACTGCTGCCTCCCCTTGCCCTCCTCCCGCTCCAAAACGCACGAGACCCATGGAGCTGGAGAAGGTTTTCCCTCAGCCCTCCCAGGTGCCAATGCCCACCCTCCAAACCTGCTTATTTTGCAGCTGGATAGAGACTGCTCCTTCCCTCAGGCACTACAGGACTCTGGAAGTCTGAAGCAAGGAAGGCATCCTCCCAGCTTGGCAAGAAGCTGCCACTGCCACTCCTGTGCTAACAGGGAAGAAGAGCTGGTGGCAGGCAGCATCCTGAGACACCGAGGTCACAGCAGGGATATGCACTGCCTTCCCTCCCCCCAGGCTACTCTTGATCATAGCAGGAACATCTAAACCCTGGGTGCAGTGTCTGTGGGCACATACCCTTTGGGATGGCATCTGGCATAACCAGCACGCCAGCAACCCAGCTGTCACTTCCTCTGCAGTGCCACCGGTCCCTGAGCAGGGCCTGGCATCCCGGGGACAAGGTGGGCACTTACCCTTCAGTATGGTGATGTTGATATAGGGACGGACCTCTGGCACTGGGTAGGGCCAGGGCTGGTGGCTGGGAGGGAGCGGTGGGGCATCTGTGGAAGAGTCCGGTGGGTCACAACAGCGCTTGCAAGTACCAGGGGCTGGTTCTGTGAGGTTGGGTTCATCAGTGGGTGCCCCAAGCACAACAAGAGGGAGAAGAAAGAAGGCCAGGGGTGTGCGCAGGTACGTTATGTCCATGGTGACCTGGGAAGATATGAGGAAGTGCCAGAGTGAGGTATAAGAATGGGAGGACATGGGGGATGGAGCAGAGATCACCACAAAACATCTTTCTGTGGCTGGAGCCAAGGGGTGGGATGGAATGGCATTGTCCTGTGGAGGGAGTTTACATGCTTGAAGTCCCTGGAGGTTCGAGGCTGCAATCTGAGTAGCAACCGCACAGCCCAAAAGGATGCCCCACACCCTTCTGCCCAAACCAATGGAGACTAGGTGCCAGCCCTGGAAAAGGGCTTGACCCTCACCAGGCAAACCGTCGGAGCCACTAGAAGATTCAGTCCCCAGGCTGGGATAGAGGAAGGAGACATGGCAAACCACACAGCCCCTTTAGCAAAAGCATGCTGAGTCCGTGGAGACAGCTGTAAAAAACTTCTCCAATCCTCCAGTCACAAGGTATCAACTCTTCACGGGAGTTAACCCTTTAACCTCCCATGTCCCAGCTGGAGTCTGACCCAGGTTTTTGGCCTGGGAATGTAACTTCAGCCCCTTCTCCCCCCCCACCCCCCAAATCCCATCCCTCTCTGTGCCTCAGCCCCCTCCCAGCAGCGCTCAGTTGTGTGCTCAGCCAGACCCCAGCACCTTCCCAACGGGATGGCCGGCTTCTCCTTTGCAGAGACCAGAAGGGAGCTGCTCCGCAGCAGAGGGTGAAGGAAGCCAAGCTGGGAGCCGGCAGCCTCCAGAGAATTATGCTTACGAAAGAGAGACACGCAAGCAAGCTGAGAAACCCCTTTCCCAGCCTCTGCCCCCCCTTCCCTCTGCCTGCACCCCAGCCCATGGTGGCAGCTCACCCCGGAGGCTGAGGGCTCCCCTCTGGACTTCCCAGCCCCTGCTCGCCGGTTCCCCTCCGCCTGCAAAGCCGGCCCCCGGGCCCATGGCTTTAAGAAAGCTGGCTTTTGGCACAGGCGCTGCTGAGCGCTGGCTGGGTGCGCAAGCTGGGCTTGGACCTGCTCCCTCCCCTCTCCTCTCCCTCCCTTCCCCTCCCTGGCTTTGGGCTCTCTCCATTGCAAACCGGCTTGGGTTTCGGCGCCTTTTAACTCTTTCCTGGGTAGGGCATTTTCCATATATATATATATATATATTTTTTTTTTTTTTTTTTCTCTCTGCCTTTTCGCTTCCAAACGGCTTACCCTTGGTCAGCAAAATGTGGGCAGCACAGGGTGCAAAGGGTGGGCAGGCAGCAGGGACAGTGTCCCACCGTGAGCATCTCAGGACGGGCAAGGTGAGGTGAATGGGTGCAAGACCCAGACTTTCCTTCAGGTGGGATGGTCCAGGACTCTGCTCTCACTCCTCTGCATTAGTCCCTTGTTCCATGCATTAGCCTTTCACTTGGCTGCCCATGCTCTCTCCTCAGCTGTGCCTGTCCCACTCATAGTCCCCAAAATTCATCTTTCATTCCCTCCTGCATTGTTTCTTCTGCACGTCACCATGGCCCCTTGACCCAGGCACGATCTTTCTAGCAGGCTGATCTGCCAACTGGGAGAGGCATCAGATTTTTCCCTCTCTGGTCATCCCCTCTCCCCGGGCAGAGCCCCAAGCCTTGCACTCTGGCACATGTCATCCCCCAGTCATGTCCCCCGGTTAGGTCCCGGGCTGAGCATTTTGCACGGGAGGGGTGTGCCTGGCCTGAAGCACAGCCCGGCTGTGGGGATCTGCCTGCCAGCAAAACTGAGGATCTGGAGCAAACCCTGGCCGTGATCTTTGCCCTCAGCCTGGTGCCGAGCTGACATGCTTGTGCTGTTGGGGTGAGCACTACGTGGCTACGCCAGAACCTGGGAATGAAGGGCATTTTGGGGGGAGGAATTGTTGGGGGGGAGGGGGCAGACAGGAGACTTTTCTTACACTGCAAAATCTGTTGGGAAGAGGATTTTGGGGATCCACCCTGCAGCAAAACTGGATTTGGGAATTTACTTATACCCTGTGGGTGTGTGCACACATATATCTTTGAGAGGCAGAAGGAAGGATGGGCAATAGCTCTCTTCTGCAGGGGCCAGAAGTGCCAAGTCAGCACTGTGCCTCCTGCAATTTCCAAGAGAAGCTGGAGAAGGCTCCAAGGTTTCTGAGGGGGAAAGGGTTTTATGTGTGTCTACGTGTGCTTAGACTTTTTTTTTTTTTTCTGTTTTCCTTCTCCCATTTGTTTGGTTTGGGAATGGGAGGCCCCGCTTCCCAGAGAGTGGCTGGCGTTTGGCAGGACCCCAGAACCACTGGAGAAGCAAGCGGAAAACTCTGGGAAAATATGTGCTGGGGGGAAGGGAGGAAGGGGGGCTGGGAGGCCTGGAGATATTCTCAGGCTGCCTGTCAGCCTGGAGCTCAATGAACATGGAGTGAACATGCCTCTCAGCTGGGGTGGGAAGAGGACCAAGAAATTTGCTGCTCTGCTCATGACTTCCTAGCCGGGCTCCAGCACTGACATGCAATGAGACCCACTGCAAGTCTCCTACGTCTGCCTGAGCCTGTTTCCCCTTTTGGAAAACGGGATGGGGAAAGGTTAGCTCAACACTTCTTGCTAGTGGGGCCTTGCCAGCTGACAGAAGCAGGTTTTTGTGCTCCGTTGTGTTGTCTACTCCTGCCTGCTGCTGGTGGGGATGTCGGCAGCTGCCAGTACTATTGAGAGTTAATACATTTTCTGGGGTGCATGACAACTCAGAGACTGACACCGAAGGCAAAGTTCCTCTCTGTCCCATCAAAGCTATTGCAGTGCCTCACTCCTTCAGGTTTTCCTTCCTGGCTTATTATTCTCCCCTTTTGCAGCTCTTGTCCTGATGTCTGGCCTATTCTACCTTTCCAAGGGGAACAGGTAACAGGGAGGCCATTGTTATCATTTCTGCCCCCCACTTCCATCTGCAATCCTGAGTTGCTCACAGCCAAACAAATGTTTTTTGTGGAGGATGTCATCAGCTGGGGCCTTTGCCTTTGTCTCATCCGACTGCAAGAACAGCTCAGAGTGGGCAGTGAGCAGGACTTTGTGTTTAATGTCTCATCTGAGCTGAATGGGGACCTGCAGGGAGCCACCAAACAAAGACTTGCACTGGTGGCATTGCCCAGCTGGGCAGCAGTTTATGCCAGCAAAGACACTTCTGCCAGGGTAATATCTCCTCGCTCCCTGGAGGGAACTGGCTGTACCAGCAACGTTTTGCCAGGGCAGCCACATTTGCAGGAGGTTTTGGCTTGTATGGCTGAGCACTCAAAGATACGAGTTTTGAGAATGCTGTCCAATAGCTCTGTGCCAGCCACGCTTTTAAGTGTAACCCAAGCCTGAAGGCACCTTGTGTGCTCAACAATCTTCTCTCTCCCTCATCACACACTCTGCCTTGGAGGCAGCCCAGGGAAGCTCTGGCCAGATTGGACTGCAACAATCCCTGCTCAAAAGCAGCTGCTTCCTCCTCCTTCAACATTTCCTCCCTTCTCCTGCACGTCCACCCCCAACAGGGGCAAAGGAGGAGGACACAGGATACAGCCTGACTCTCCCCCAGTGACTGCCTCCATCCTATTAACCCTCTCTACCACAGGTACAGAAGGAAGAAAAATCACTCGGATGTTTTCTCCCCTTTCCAGCCCCTGTGTACAGCTCAGCTCTCCTGCTGCACATGTGGATCCCCTGCCCTGCTACACGTACACACGTACCCACATCCACCCACAAACACCCACACACCCGCCCTTCACAGCTCCTCCCTCACCAAAACCTCTGGGGCAAAGGCATCATCCACACCAAGAGGCAGAGAAACAGCCCCTTACATTGCCCTTCCTGGCTGCTTCTCCTCCACCGTAGCTGCTTTCCCTTTCCCCTTTCCCCCCACCCCTCTGCCCCCACTTTCTAAGAGCATCACAAGCCGGGAGGGGAAGCAGAGGACCTCTTACCTCTGCTCCCCTCCGGAGGGGTCCCACGCTGGGTTATCCGTATCCTCAGCTGCTCCTGCTGAGCAGCGCGGGGAGGGAGGGCCGGCGGGGCCCAGCTGACTCCAGCCAGATGCTCGCCAAGTGCTTTTATGTAATTACTGTCTTTTCCATCCTGCCTCCGAGGCCTTTGTGAGTGCCTCCCCCCCGTGCTCTGGCCCGTGTCAGGCTTGGCTCTCCCTTCTTCCCTCCCTCCCTCCTTCCACCCACCCCACACAGCATCACGATTTGCTCAGCTCAACAGCTGATTCCCTTCTGGAAGCAAAGTTCAGGCTTTTTGGCTACTGCCGTTGCTACCCTTGGAAAGAGAGCTCACATGTTTCAAGAGCTGGGAAGCGATGGACAGCACAGCTCTGCTCTCACCTCCTCTCCATCACTGCCAGGTACCTTTGCCTTGCCCTTCCATAGTGTCTGCAAACAGGTTGGGGACATAAAAAGGCAGCAGTGTGTTTTTATGCTTCAGTACTTTGGGGTGCCCTTGGGTTACCCTGTAATAGCAGCTGCCACCCTGCCGTATCAGGATGGCTGATTACTTCTAGCCAGGCTGCAGAGGGGGTTGGAAACGCTAGGTGAATTTTAAATGTCCCTTCCAACCCAAACTATTCTATGATTCCATGATAAGAGGAGTCTTTTCCAGCCTGTGGACTCCACAGCTGTGCAGGAGGCTTGTGTAACAGCCAGCCCTTGTTACCCAACGGCACCGACACGGTATGAAATTACTGGCTTAGAATATCTTGTAGGTCTCCGAGGATGGGCAGGCCTGTCGGACGTCAGCTGCGCGGCTACATTGCTCTCATAACTTCTGCCCATGTGGGGCCTGGACCAACCAGGAACGACACGTTCCCCGGCTTTACACAGGCTGCTGCCGCCTGTTTGAGGACACTTGTGCCAGCAGGGATTTCTGCTCTGTGCTGCTCGGCAGCCTGGGCTGTCTCACACGGGGATCAAGGCCTGGCAAAGCTGCTGCATTTTTTCTGCTGTGCATTGCTGAAACGCCACGTGGCTGAGGAGCAGCTGGAAGGGCCCTTCACCTGCACTCATGGCTAGAGCAGAGCTGTCGCTAGACCTGCCAGTCTCCGGCACCCAGCATGGAAGTGTGAGCTTGTGCCCCACTTCCCACTGCCCCCACCGCCAGTCCGAGACACTGCGTGTCTGCCCCACACAGCTGAACCACGTACCAGAGACTGGCTGACAAGCTGCATCAGATGGAGGTGCCTTGTGGCTAAGGGGAACATCACCCAGGCTGCCCCTCTCCCCATAGGTAGACTTTCCAGCTTGAGCGTCCCATCTCTTACCCCCACCTCGTGACCCTGCCTGAGAGACCACTGAGGCAAGAAACCATGCCACTATCCACCCCCAAACTCTGGCGTGTGACTACAAGTGCTAACCCTGCTGCAACCAGCAAGACTTCACCGCCTTGTGAGCATCTAGGCCCAACAGCTTGCCTGGGTGGGAGATATCAGGTGACTGTTTGAACCAGTTCTTACCAATAACCTTCAGCTGAGCCTGCTGCCTTCTGCTTCTCTGCATCTGAATGCACCTGAGTGCCTCCTCCTCCCATCCACTCCTATGTAGATCCAGGAGTTTTTGCCCCTGTGCTGTCCTGTCCTGTCCTACACACATTCCTAGCCCTGCCCTAAGCAGTTATCAACAGCAGATCACTATCGGAGGAATCTCAGCTCTCAGAAGTAGTGCTGAGAAAGGTACACGATGGTTAGGGCAAGAAAATTTGCTTCAGAGTTACCCATGAGCTTTCTCATCAAAGAAACAAGCACTTTAATGCAAGAGTGGGGAAGCTGGTGTTTAAGAGTTCACTTTTGGATCTGTGATGGGCACTTCCCACTAAGGGAACCATCCTGACACTGGAGGGGTTTGAAACAGAGAGGTTCCACCATTGCTTGGTAGCACTGTCCTGAGTCTGGTCCTAAAACCAGTCAACAGGGCAAGAATCTTGCCATGTTCTCTGACCATTTGATCCAACACAAGCATGTTCATCACTCCGTCTTCAAGGCACAGGGCATAGGCGTTGTTTAATACCCATGCAGCAAAGTTTGATGCTTTTCACAGAAAC